ACTTTTCGGCAAATTTTGATGACTCTCATATGCAGCAGAGTGCCAGTACTAGTGCCACGCTACCTTTTGGTGAACTGGCGAGTACCAGCGGTCTAGTATATCCTGGTCTTTCACATATCTCTTAGATTGTAAGCTCCCAGGATCAGGGCCCTCCTAACCCTCTTGTATTGAACTGTATTGTTCTGTATTGTCTCCCGTTATATTGTAGCGCTGAGCAAACTGTTGGTGCCATAAATCCTGTATAATAATAATAATACCAGCACTGCAGTAGGACTTGGTGACGTGGTGAGTCCCATAAGTGCAGTACAAGCCGATGCGGTTGCGAACATAAGTATTGTCCCGCAACCACCAAGATATGAGTGTATAATAAACTTTACCCTCTACAAATCAGCTCTTCTCAAATACAACTCCAGCCTCCACACTGCTAATCAAACCTACTATAACACTCTCATCAAGACCCTCTCATCCACTCCTTGTCAACTCTGCCTCCACCCACCAACTTACTTACTGCACAGGAGATTGCCAGTCACTTCAAAAAGATCGACACAATTCGTGATGAGATCTCCACTGTCAAGCTTCCTCCTCTAACCAACATACCAGGCCCAACACCAAACTCTATACTCTCCTCCTTCAACCTTGTTACCATCAAGGAAGATACCAAACTCCTTTCCAAAGCCCACTTCACCACCTGTCCCCTGGATCCTGTCCCCTCACGACTGTTGCAGCCGCCTTCCTGCTCTATCCTAAACTCTCTAACCCACATCTTCAACCTCTCACTCTCCATGGGCACCTTTCCCTCCCCACTCAAACATGCACTGGTTACCCCCATTCTCAAAAAACCCTCGCTGGGCCCCACCTGTTTGAATAACTTAAGACCCATCTCCCTGCTCCCGTTTGCCTCCAAGCTTCTCGAATGCCTTGTTCACAACCGTATGAACTGCTACCTCACTGACAACAACCTTCTTGATCCCCGACAGTCTGGCTTCCGCCAACAACATTCCACAGAAACTGCCCAACTAAAACTCACTAATGACCTACTAACTGCTAAAACCAATGGCCGTTACTCCATACTCATACTCCTTGACCTTTCCGATGCCTTTGACACAGTCGACCACCCGCTCCTCCTCAGTAAACTCCACCCCATCGGCCTCCATGACTCTGCCCTCTCATGGTTCTCCTCTTACCTTTCTCAGTGCACTTTCAGTGTCACATACAACTGCTCCTCCTCCGCTTTGTCCTTCTGTTGAAGTACCCCAAGGTTCTGCTCTTGGACCCTCCTTTTCGCTTTCTACACCTCCTCCCTGGGCCAACTGATAACCTCCAATACCACCTCTATGCTGATGACACCCAGATCTATCTCTCCACTCCCCAGCTCACCCCTTATATTGTAAAGCGCTGCGCAAACTTGTTGCCACAAGTTTTTGAAAAAAAGAAAAAAAAAAAAAAATTTTTTTTCTATTCTTTTTTTATATTTCAAAACCTTGTGAGAAAAAAAAAAACATCTGCAAAATACTCACCATGCCTCTTTAAATTCCTTGGGGTGTCTACTTTCCAGAAAGGAGTCATTTGGTAGGGGGGGAGGGGTTTAGTGCTATCCTGGCATGTCAGGGCCTTCAAATCTGTGATAAGTAGTGAGGAAGTTACGCACCTTCAGTCTTTCAAAGTGGTCATTGGATTTCAGGCTCCTGTATGTGGCTGGGCTTCTAAAAAGTCTCACACATGTGGTATCCCCATACTCGGTAGAAGTAGCAGAATGTATTTTGGGGTGTAATTCCACATATACCCATGGCTTGCGCGAGAAATAAATCATTTAAATGACAACTTTGTGTAAAAAAAAAAAAAAATGTTTTTGTCATTTTCCAGAAACTTGTGGAAAAAAAAATAAATCTTCCATGGACTCAATATGCCTCTCAGCAGATAGCTTAGGGTGTTTACTTTCCAAAAGGGGTCATTTGAAGGTGTTTACACTATCCTGGTATTTTAGCACCTCAAGAAATGTTATGAGTAGTCAGAAAGTAAAAGCTGTGTAAATTCCATTATCTATACCATAGTTTGTAGACGCTATAACTTTCACACAAAGCAATCAATATACACTTATTGGGATTTTTTTTAACCAAAAACTTGTAGCAGAATACATTTTGGCCTAAATTTAGGATGAAATTTTAGTTTTTTGGGATATTTTTTTATGACCGACATGAGAAAATAGTTTTCTTTTTTCAAAATTTTTTCTGTTTATAGCGCCAAAAATAAAAAGTGCACAGGTGATCAAATACCAAACCAAAAGAAAGCTCTATTTGTGTGAAAAAGGACATAAATTTCATTTATGTACCGTATTGCATGACCGCGCAATTGTCCATTAAACTAATGCAGCGCAGTATAGCAAAAAAAATGGCGTAAATTGCAGTATCTATACCATAGTTTGTAGACGCTATAACTTTCACACAAAGCAATCAATATACACTTATTGGGGGTTTTTTTAACCAAAAACATGGAGCAGAATACATTTTGCCCTAAATTTATAACTAACTTTGAGTTTACTATATATTTTTTATAGCTGAAAGTAAAAAATATCATTTTTCTTCAAAACTTTTGGTCTTTTTTTGTTTAAACCGTGAAAAATAAAAAGCGCACAGGTGATCAAATAACACCGAAAGAAAGCTCTATTTGTGTGAAAAAAAGGACGTAAATTTCCTTCGGGTGCAGCATTGCATGACCGCGCAATTATCAGTTGAATTAGTGCAGCAACAAGTAGCAAAAAGAGGCCTGGTCATTAAATCCGCAGGAGGGCAAGTGGTTAAAAAAAAGAACATATAGATATATACTCACAAATCAAAGAAAATAAAAACGTGACCGTTGATCCGCAATGCAGTCCAATTCAATACTGTGCCTTACGTAGGGATAGGCTGACGTGTTTCAGGAGATGAACCCCCTTCTTCAGAGCTGAAGTATATACCTGCTGATCCAACATATGGTATTTTTCACTCTATAAGACGCACTTTTCCCCCCCAAAAAATGGGGGAAAATGTCAGTGAGTCTTATGGAGTGAATATGGAGTGGCCGGTCCGGTATTTCCGCCGCCACCGGGCCGGCTGCTCAGCTCTCCTCTGCAGCAGGACCTTACCTGTTCCTTGGTCCACCGCTGTAAAGTCTTCCCGCGCCGGCAACTTTAGTGCGAGCACCCGGCTGTGACAGCCAGGTGCCCACTGCGCATGCGCGAGAAGCGATGTGCTTTGTGAATGATCCAGCATCTTCTAGGACACATGACAGGTCCCAGAAGACGCTGGGCCATTCACAAAGTACAGCGCTTCTCGAGCACGCACAGTGGGAACCCGGCACAGCCGGGCGCCTGCACTAAAGAGAGGACAACTCCGCAGAAGTGGGAGCGGGTACCTGTCAAATTCAGGTACCCGCTCCCCCTCCCTCCCCAAAGGTCAGCAGTCTCTGGTCATCTCCTGTACTGTCCGCAGTCTCCGGTCATCACCCGTACCGTGTCCGCAGTCTCCGGTCATCTCCTGTACCGTGTCCGCAGTCTCCGGTCATCTCCTGTACCGTGTCCGCAGTCTCCGGTCATCTCCTGTACCGTGTCCGCAGTCTCCGGTCATCACCTGTTACCGTGCCCGCAGTCTCCGGTCATCACCTGTACCGTGTCCGCAGTCTCGGTCATCTCCTGTACCGTGTCCGCAGTCTCCGGTCATCTCCTGTACCGTGTCCGCAGTCTCCGGTCATCACCTGTACCGTGTCCGCAGTCTCCGGTCATCACCTGTACCGTGTCCGCAGCTGTCTCCGGTCATCCTGTACCGTGTCCGCAGTCTCCGGTCATCACCTGTACCGTGTCCGCAGTCTCCGGTCATCACCTGTACCGTGTCCGCAGTCTCCGGTCATCACCTGTACCGTGTCCGCAGTCTCCGGTCATCACCTGTACCGTGTCCGCAGTCTCCGGTCATCACCTGTACCGTGTCCGCAGTCTCCGGTCATCACCTGTACCGTGTCCGCAGTCTCCGGTCATCTCCTGTCATCACCTGTACCGTGTCCGCAGTCTCCGGTCATCTCCTGTACCGTGTCCGCAGTCTCCGGTCATCACCTGTACCGTGTCCGCAGTCTCCGGTCATCACCTGTACCGTGTCCGCAGTCTCCGGTCATCCCCTGTACCGTGTCCGCAGTCTCCGGTCATCCCCTGTACCGTGTCCGCAGTCTCCGGTCATCCCCTGTACCGTGTCCGCAGTCTCCGGTCATCCCCTGTACCGTGTCCGCAGTCTCCGGTCATCCCCTGTACCGTGTCCGCAATCTCCGGTCATCCCCTGTACGTGTCCGCAGTCTCCGGTCATCCCCTGTACCGTGTCCGCAGTCTCCGGTCATCCCCTGTACCGTGTCCGCAGTCTCCGGTCATCGCCTGTACCGTGTCCGCAGTCTCCGGTCATCCCCTGTACTATATCCGCAGTCTCTGGTCATCCCCTGTACTATATCCGCAGTCTCTGGTCATCTCCTGTACTGTGTCTGCAGTCCATTGGTTCAGAATATTGTTTTTTCTCCTCTAAAACCTAGGTGCGTCTTATGGAGCGAAAAATACAGTATATATACCCAAGTATGGCAGAGAGGACAGGATAACAACCCCACACATATAACGGCCCAATCAAAAAAGGCCAATCAAATCCACCTCAGGCAACAAAAGTAAATAAATACATTTTTTAACCGCCTCCCGCCCGCCATATAGTCCAATGACGGGCGCAAGGTGGTTCTCTCGTTCTGGGAGGACGTCATATGACGTCCTCCCATTCTCACCGCGCAGCGCGGTGATCGGCGCGGTGCGCTGTTTCCCTCGGACACAGCGGATCACCGATCACGGAAAGAGCCGAAGATGTCGGCTCAATCATGTGATCAGCTGTGTCCAATCACAGCTGATCGCATGTAAACAGGGAAATGCCGGTTATCGGCATTTCTCTCCTCACGAGCTGTCACACTGACAGAGGAGAGGAGAGTAATCGGCATTCCTCGGAGGGGACATCTACACTGATCATCGGGGCACTGCTGATGAGTGTGCCCTGATGATCTGTGTAGCCCCAGCAGTGCCACCTGTCAGTGTCCATCAGTGCATACCAGTGCACATCAATGCCACATATCAGTGCCCATCTGACTTGCCTTTCAGTGTCACCCATCAGTGCAAGTCAGTGCCACCTATAAATGACAATCAGTGCCGCCTATCAGTGCCAGTCAGTGCAGCCTATCAGCGTAGCCTATCAGTGCCATATATGAGTGCTGCCTTTCAGTGCTCATCAGTGATGCCTGTCAATGCCACCTACCAGTGCCTCCTCATCAGTGCCACCTATCAGTGCCCATCAGCGCTGCCTGTCAATGCCCATCAGCGCAGCCTCATTAGCGCACATCAGTGAAGGAAAAAAAAAATTACCTATTTACAAAATTTTATAAAAAAACTAAGAAAAAAATGGGTTTTTTTTTTTTCAAAATTTTCAGTGGTTTATGGTTTAAGAAAAAAATAAAAAAACCCCCGAGGTGATTAAATACCCCCAAAATAAAGCTGTCACAAAAAAAAAAATGATAAAAATTTCATGTGTACAGCGTTGCATGACCGCGCAATGGTCATTCAAAGTGCGACAGCGCTGAAAGCTGGAAATTGGCCTGGGCAGGATGGGGGTAGACACGCCCGGTAGGCGAGGGGTTAAAATACGCACCAATATTATATACGGGTAATCAATAATTAATAAATATATATAAATAGGCAATGGCACATAAATAAATGAACCGTACTCACATATAGTACCAGGACTGGGATAGATCAATAAACTCACACAAACAACGGGGAACCTTCCCAACATAAAAACCATCAGCTGTATAAAGAACACAACATAATGACGTAATTGATTAATATTATTACTAAATAATAAAAACATAAATAAATAAACGCCCCGCGGATGTAAGAACCGGCCCGGCGTTCGTCCTGCTCGCCAGGATGGTTTCATATGACCGTGACCATGGAAACATTAGGCGTATCAGTGCGCATGCGCACTACGCCGCAGATTATCTGCGAGTGCGCCGGGGAGCCGTGCCGCCCGACACACGCCCAGGAAGCGCGTCAGAGTGAGGGCGGAAGGGAGAAGCCGGCTCCCTATGTAGTGCTGGAACCGCACTCCTACTAACGCATGCTATAACAAATGTTAAAAAGTGGAAAAATGAACAGAAGATGCACTTAGATGTGAATACAGAGCCACAGAACTAATGTAACCTTGGAATGAATCGAATCAGCCTAATTAACTCCTTATTCTCCTTCTCCATGGAATCATTATTGTCCTGCTGATTGTTTTGTGTTCATTTCTATTCATTTTTGGTTTGCTTTGTAAATATTTATACACCTTTACATATATTTACATGTTTCACCTTTAACCGCTTCCCGGCCGCTCTATAGCAGAAACACTGCTACAGGGCGACATGGGGGCGCAAAATCACGTGTCTATATACGTGATTTTGGATATCCGGGTAGAGAGCGCACGAGGGCGCGCGAACGCCCTACCTGCGCTGCCATTCGCGGCTGCAACTGTCAGTCACCGGGCCCCAGCCGGTATATACTTTCTGGCGCCTGGTGATTTCTGATGATCACTGTCAGGGAGGAGGACTGTTTTGTTTACTAACAGTCCTCCTCCCTGTCAGCTCGGGCACACTGCACAGCCATCCTTAGCAGTGTGAGTACAGTGAAGCACACACACACCCCGCCCCCTAGTAAAACACTCCCAGCCAGGGGCGGACTGACCATTTGGGAACTCGGGCACTGCCCGAGGGCCCGGGGTCAGTAGGGGTCCCATGAGATGCCCCTGGTACCTTTTTCATAGGCTTTTTTGAGTTTGGGCAAGGACACAGGGGCTTCATGATCCCCTATTGCCGGGGGCCCCATGAGTTTTCAGTCCGCCCCTGGTAGGGGGCCCCATGAGATGCCCCTGGTACTTTTTTCATAGGCTTTTTTGAGTTTGGGCAAGGACACAGGGGCCCCATGATCCCCTTTTGCCCGGGGGGCCCCATGAGTTGTCAGTCCGCCCCTGCTCCCAGCACACAGTTAACCCTTTGATTGCCCCTCACATTAACCCCTTCCTGCCCAGTGTCATTAGTACAGTGTCAGAGCTTTTTTTTTTTTCTAGCACTGAACACTGTATTGGTGTCACTGGGTATGCCAGTGACACCAAGTCAGTCCCCCCCACAGTCTCAGAATGTCCGCCGCAGTCCCACTATAAGTCGCCGATCGCCGCCATTACTAGTAAAATTAAAACAAATAATACCAGTATATACTGTATACCACCATCTGGAAATGCTAATCACGTAAACTGATTAATTTACACGTATTGGGATTATTTTTTTTTTTTTAGCAAAGATATGTAGCAGAATACATTTTGGCCGGAATTTTTATGAAAATTTTATTTTTTACATTTTTTTACTGGACATATTTAAGAGCAAAAAGTCAAAAATTTTGTTTTTTTTTCTCAAAATTGTTGGTCTATTTTTTTGTAGCGCAAAAAATAAAAAACACAGGCAATCAAATAGGGGCACTGCAGGAAAGCTCAATTCCTGGGGGAAAAAAAGGACGTAAATTTCATTTCGGTGCAGCGTTGCATGACCGCGCAATTGTCAGTTAAAGTAACGCAGCGCCGTAATGCAAAAAATGGAAGGGGGGGGGGGGAATCCTCAGGAGGGCGAGGGGTTAATAAAGCAAAATTGAAGAAATAAATGTACTTCTTTTGTAAATAGCTTTTCAATGCTTTGTACCAGAATAATAATTTTAATGTCATTTTAAAAAGGACAAATTACAGAATAAAATGCAAACTTTCTATATGCAGTAACATTATTTTTAAACCAACAAGGCTAAAAAAAAAAATGTGTTTTTTTTTATAATTTTGTTACATTTGTCTAAGGAGTGTGAAAAAAATGTCATTGTTGCAAGACAATATTCATAAAAAAAAGCCTTGCTAGTGCTTAAAAAAAAAAAATCCTCATATATACATATGGAGCTTGCTCTGTGCACTGGTGTGCAGTCATGTTGGAACAGGAAGGGGCCATCCCCAAACTAATGAAATTGTCCAAAATGTTGTCTTAAGAGTTCCCTTCACTGGAACTAGGGGGCCAAGCCCAACCCCTGAAAAACAACCCCACACCATAATCCCCCCTCCACCAAACTTTACACTTGGCACAGTGTAGTCAGGCAAGTACCGTTATCCTGGCCACCGCCAAACCCAGACAAGTCCATCGGATTGCCAGACAGAGAAGCGTGATTGGTTACTCCAGAGAACACATCTCCACTCCTCTAGAGTCCAGTGGCGGCGTGCTTTACACCGCGGCATCCGACGCTTTGCATTGCACTTGGTGATGGAAGGCTTGGATGCAGCTGCTCGGACCATGGAAACCCATTCCATGAAGCTCTCTACGCACTGTTGTTGGGCTCATCTGAAGGCCACACCAAGTTTGGAGGTCTTTAGCTGCAGACAGTTGGTGACTTCTGCGCACTGTGCGCTTCAGCATGCGCTGACCCCGCTCTGTCATGTGATGTGGCCTACCACTTTGTGGCTGAGTGGCTGTTGTTCCCAGTTGCTTCCACTTTGTTATAATCCCACTAACAGTTGATCGTGGAATATTTAGTAGCCAGAAAATGTCACGGATGGACTTATTGCCCAGGTGGCCACCTATCACGGGACCACGCTTGGAGTCACTGAGCTCCTGAGAGCGACCCATTCTTTCACCAATGTTTGTAGAAGCAGTCTGCATGCCTAGGGGATGATTGTATACACCTGTGGCCATGGAGGGGATTGGAACCCTGAATCACATGATTTGGAGGGCGGGGCCAATACTTTTGGCAATCTAGAGTATATTGGATGTATATTTTGTTATTAATTCTGTATTTCTTGTGTTAGAATGCTATTTACGCCTCCATCTTAGAAGATTGCTCTCGATCTTTTGAGGCATTGTTCCCTCCAATAACTTCTGGAAGTAACATGGCTGAGTGAATGTCCATTACCACCTCAAAAAATCCCACCTGAGACACAGATGGAACTTCAAAGAAAGTTATATAGCTAGATCCCACCCACTAAAGGACATATAAAAGCAATTAGAAGTCCTTACTTATACAGAGTATCCAATACTATGTATTATGCTGCTCTCCCTGCATCCTCGGACGTACAATAACTACATTCAATTTTCAACTTGGCATCAGCAGTCAAAATTTATTTCAGGTACTTATATAGCGCCATCAATGTACGCAGCGCTTTACATATATATATTGTACATTCACATCAGTCCCCCCCGCCCGAGAAGCATACAATCTAAGGTCCCTAACTCACATTCATACATACACATACTAAGAACAATTTAGACAGAAGCCAATTTACCTACCAGCATGTCTTTTGGAAGGAAACCCACGCAGGCACAGGGAAAACATGCAAACTTCAGGCAGGTGGTGCAGTGGTTGGGATTCAAATCAATGACCTGAGTGCTGCCATGCGATAGTGCTAACCACTTAGCTACTGTGCTTCCCCCATTGTTACTGAAATCCATGAGTTTGGGTTTCCCTGTCACCACCCTTTGATGGGTGTGCTAATCCATCTGAAATGATTCATTCTCGGCTGGAGTTGGATTTCTTATTTCTGAATCTCCTTCTTATCATCCAGAACAATGTCTTGGGTCCTTCCACAGCTGTAGCAGAGCTTCTTCCTCTTGGGTCACTAAATGATGACCTTCAGTCCTGGTCGGAGGGATTCCAACTTTTCAAGTTCTCCTTTAGTTTTATCTGACAAGTTACTGTCAATGATCCTAGAAGAGGCTGGGAGAGGTAAATGGTCATCAGATTTCAGCAGATCAGTCTCACTATTCCCCATTATTCTCCGGGGTGAAATAAAGAGGATCTGAATGCTTATTTTTGCTATTATTATTATCAGGAGGCCTAAATACTTTGCTTTATATCAGTGGTCTCCAAACTGCGGCCCATGGGCCGAATGCCTGCCTCTATACGGCCCCCGGGGTACTATTCCTCTCACTGACACTAACAAGGAGGCACCATTTCTTCCACTGGCACAAACTATGGGGCATTTTTGCTTCCACTGACAGCAATGATGGGGCACTATTCCTTCCTCTGACACCAATGATGGGGCACTATTCCTTCCTCTGATACCAATGATAGGGCACTATTCCTCCCACTGATACCAATGATGGGGCACTATTCCTCCCACTGAAACCAATGATGGGACACTATTCCTCCCACTGACACCAATGATGGGGCACTATTTCTCCCCTTGACACCAATGATGGGGCACTATTCTTCCCACTGATAACCAATGATGGGGCACTATTTCTCCCTCTGACACCAATGATGGGGCACTATTCCTCCCACTGATACCAATGA